GTGTCTCTTCGCTTTTCAAATGCATCAAATTATGCTCAACGAAAATTGTACACAAAATGTAGTGGGAAGAAATAAGATTGGGCTGCGATTCAATATATGCTAGTTGAAGAAAGGGAGCCCCTAGCTTTTGTGTTCATATGATTGCTTCAATCTCACCCACCCCGGTTTTTTTTTGGAGGGTGGATAAGCTATCCCGTGGAAAAATCCCTATCTGGTGGATAGGGCAGTACGTTTGCTTAACTTTTATCCGCTGGATAGTTATTTATCCGTTGGATATCGTTATCTGCTCTTCGAACAACTGGTCTAGCTGATTACTAAATATGTCAGGACTATTGGGATAATGGGCCTGCAACGACTAGAATTTGCATTTGCACTTGCAAAAGAATGTTTTTAATGTTTTTCATAATACTGTAGTACTATTGTATTTTTTGTTTCTACTCTCTTAGGTTTGCGTTTTTTCGTGTGGTTATGTAAGAATTGCGTGACGCCGGTAACTATATAGTTTCACGGTATGCGCGTTGTTTTTGTTGAGGTAATTTTATTGCAAGTTGATTTCAACATAGTCGTTTCGTTAGTTTTTTCCAGCACCGTGTTGTTCTTCGTTAAGAGCTTCTTACTACCGGACCAGGTTACTCCACAAATTTCGAATAAAATGTAGAGAGATGACTACATATCTGTCGCCACGAATGCACATACACGTATTTACGAGTTTTTTAGATCAAATAAAAGTCCATCTTGAAAATTCATTGGGAATGCGGCATTCGTTTTATGGTGACAGATATGTAGTTATCTGTCTATAGGGGAATCCTTGTTTACAATTCAATGAACATTTTGGAAGTTTTATCAGGTTGTAGTGTTGGCTTCGGATTTCTCATCTGGCTCCTTCATTTTCTGTTGTACAGAGCCACTTCTGGCTCCAGTGTCATCCCAATCCTTATCCTCCAAGTGTATACGATTGTCCATGAAAACTTTAAGGCCCCTTTTTCACATTCATAAGCAAAGATCATGTCTTCTAGAGTCTGTAGTTCTGGTCTATAGTATATGTCCCTAGACTTCAGTGCCTCGAGTTTGAGATACACAGCAATCTGTGGAGGAAGGCGCACAATTGATTCTGTCAGTGGAGGTTTTACGTCCCTAGATCGTCTTGGGCTCATGGCTGCGATGGGGTCAGCGTGAGACTTGGCACTCTGCACGAAGTATTCAATACTTCGAAAAACAATTCTGAACTTTCGCTGTCTGTCTGGAGTATATATAGTTTCTTCTCCATCATCTGGGTGGTACTCGTAAAAGCGCTCGACACTGTCATCAACCATCCAAATGAAGTTCAACTTCAATCGTAGAGCAATCTTTTGTACCCATAGTCTGGGGTATCCAGCAACAATCTCATCATTTGGTAGGCTAATGATGTGAAACTTGTCTCCACAATACTTGACATACTCTTCAAATTCTGTGGGTCTTACCTCAAGAATTCTGATTGTGTTTTCGGGATTCAGGATTTGATCTGCATCATCAGGCCAATCCAGCAGAACAATCTTCGCTCGACGAAAGGAAGGTGTAAAAATCCACCTTTGGTCAATTTTGTCAAGTTTAGCTCCTCTAATTCGCTTACCGGTCGAGTTGCTAACGTCGAACCAATCTGAAGTATTACCAGGTAAATGAACCTTGCACATATATTCGCAGTCTAGGAACCAGATGTTTGGGTTTAGCTGTGGCGGTGGTAAAGAATAGGCCCTAAAACGTTCTTTTTCTTTCCCTGGCTTTTTCCTTTGCTTGTCAACAATTTCCTTTACATGCGGGGTTAGACTTTCTTCAGAGGTTGGCTTAATCCACAGCATTTTGGGTGAGCTTTCACAATTTTGCAATACCTCTTCTAGCTCTTCTCGACACGTGTTGTCTTTCATTTCCATGACAAATTTAGGGAGATGCAGATATACTTTTCCTAAATCAACCTTATCCGAATGTTTCCAAGCTTTGCCCACCGTATACACTGATGATACGGCCATTTCGTCAGGCATAATCTTAGGTCGGTCATTCCACGGGTGATTCTTCATAAATTCTCCACCGTTTATCAATTTTCTTTGTGGTTCGCTCTTCGTTTCTTTTGCCTTGCTCTTATCCTCAAGGGTTCTGTCATTTCCTTGCTTTATATTATCATGGTTAACTTCGATCTCCAAACCTCCTACCTGTTCAGTAATTTTCTTTACTGAGTTCTGGTTCTTTACATCCACGTTTGGAAGTATCCAGCTTTGGTGACATGCTCACTTGGCAAAGCGGTTACCTGCGTTTAATGTCGGCGATTGCGCACTCTGATGTGCATGCTTAAAGATCTTAAAACAAAAGTTGAGCTATTTGCATACTGTCACAGTCCAGTGAACATCTTTGGACCCTCTTTGGTAGCATTCCTCCGTAACGAATTCGTTCTTGGGAGGCAACCGACGAAATTCAGAAAGGAGGGGTGCATTGGGGTCTATTAGAAAACACAAAACCCGTAGAATAAAAAATCATCCAAAACCGCAAAAAATCGATCAAAACTGAAGACTGCACACAAAACTGACAAAACCGATAAATTTTCACACCCCACTTATCCAGGCCTACCACTCCTCGAGTGAGGTGCAGTATTGCACTATTTAAAAATTATTCCACGAGCGCGCGTTGGATCTGAGATGATAGATAGCCAACGAGGCGCGTAGCGCCGAGTTGGCTATAATCATCTCATATCCAACAAGCGCGAGTGGAATAATTGTTTTATTGAAAACGTTAAATTAAATTATTAAATTAAATTAGATTTTTTAGCTCCATTTTAATTTTAAGCTGACGCTTACGTATACGCGTACCATATTTGTTG